CAGTTATATCTGTACATACATCTGTATAACCTGGTTCACCAGTTATATCTGTACATACATCTGTATAACCTGGTTCACCAGTTATATCTGTATATTCATCTGTATAATCTGGTTCACCAGTTATATCTATATAACTATATGTACATCTGTATAATATACGGACATCTGTATAACCTGGTTCACCAGTTATATCTGCATATACATCTGTATAACCTGGTTTACCAGTTATATCTGTATATACATCTGTATAACCTGGTTCACCAGTTATATCTGTATATACATCTGTATAACCTGGTTCACCAGTTATATCTGCATATACATTTGTATCACCTGGTTCACCAGTTATATCTGTATATACATCTGTATAACCTGGTTCACCAGTTATATATGTATAAATGTATATATATCTATATAACTTGGTTCACCAGTTATATATGTATAACTGTATATACATCTATATAACTTGGTTCACCAGTTATATATGTATAACTGTATATACATCTATATAACTTGGTTCACCAGTTATAATGTATAACTGTATATACATCTATATAACTTGGTTCACCAGTTATATATGTATAACTGTATATACATCTATATAACTTGGTTCACCAGTTATATATGTATAACTGTATATACATCTATATAACTTGGTTCACCAGTTATATATGTATAACTGTATATACATCTATATAACTTGGTTCACCAGTTATATATGTATAACTGTATATACATCTATATAACTTGGTTCACCAGTTATATATGTATAACTGTATATACATCTATATAACTTGGTTCACCAGTTATATATGTATAACTGTATATACATCTATATAAATTGGTTCACCAGTTATATATGTATAACTATATACATCTATATAACTTGGTTCACCAGTTATATATGTATAACTGTATATACATCTATATAACTTGGTTCACCAGTTATATATGTATAAATGTTATATATCTATACAACTTGGTTCACCAGTTATATATGTATAACTGTATATACATCTATATAACTTGGTTCACCAGTTATATATGTATAACTGTATATACATCTATATAACTTGGTTCACCAGTTATATATGTATAACTGTATATACATCTATATAACTTGGTTCACCAGTTATATATGTATAACTGTATATACTGAAGGTTTATCGACGTGTTTGTTGGTTTGAGCGTTTAAAGACACAAGAAACTGACAACTGAATTCTAAATTTTGCCATAACCTGTATTTCACATTTTAATTCATTCAAACAGTGGCACGGTTCAGAATACACACGTGTGCTTGACGTTCTTCTAAAATTATCAGATATAAGAATATAACGCAATATGTTTAATAAGTTTGATTTTTCTTCCTATCATTTTGGATTTTTCTCAATCTCCTCCGTGGCTTCAAAATTTAGGTCCTTAGCATCAGTGACCTAAAATGACTGAAAAACTGTATGATGCAGTTTGATTCAATGTTTGGCTCTACTGTATCTAACTCTAAATTTGTATTAAAGGGTTTTTGTACAATCTTATAGATACTATAGATGTTTGGTGTAAAAAGTGCCGAAATACACAGACTTTGGTAAGTAGGAAAGCAGAACTTGGTTTAAATGTAGAAGAGGGAGGATTCGTTGTTTCGGATTTTCAGGTTTTCAGAATTCCAGACAACTGATTTATTTTCCATTTCGTTTTCAATGGTCCCATAGTAAATGTCCTTTTTTCATCGTACTTTGCCATCTTCTGTACGGTATAAGCTTGAATTAATATTTGTGTTCACATATCAGTTTTCTGTTATTACTAGGAGTCTTACTAGGCCCATATCATTGTGAAAGGTTTAACTTTTTCGTTTTTTTTTTTTTTTTGTTTGTTGTTTTTTTAGTTACACTAAGGAGTTTGGAGATTAAGGGAAAAAATGGCATTGTACATAACGCAAATGTGTATTATCTAGTGCAATCAGATTGCAGTGCATAATTACTTTCTTGTAAATTAGTGCAATGATGAATCAGTAGTAATTGGTATACACAAACAATATACAGAAGTGACAATTAGCGCAATCATGTTTTAATGCAATACTTCCGCCGCCTAAAGCGCTAGAATAAGATTACTACTAAAACACATCTGCTGTCTACAATGTGACAGCGTCAGTAAATCGAGGAGACAAAATGCTTTCTATTAATCCAATCAGCCAAAACAAGAGGTATAGCTAAACATAATGATCTACCGAATCACACAACTGAAGATGATGTGGACATCGTTGACATCGCTCCGATTTTGATTCCTGTGCGGTGTGTGGTGGAAGGGAGATAATCACAGCAGTGAAAATAAGATTTGAAGTTAGACGATAGGAGTTATCTTTCTTGAGATCAGGACATTTATGTGCTTGAATTATAAAAAAAGTGTCCATTTTGACTGTTAAACAGTTTTACAGCCATAAATTTGATTCCACCCACCCCCGGAAATTTACCTTTGTTGAATGACTATAGAAATCCACGTTCTATTTATTTAAAATAAAAATCCACTGGAGATACATCTGGTAACATAAAACAATGATATTATTCTGATTTAAATGACAACAGATAAATTACATACAATGTATACATTACTTACTTCTGTAAGGTATCTTTTGTCAATATACTCACGACTAAGTCGGTATAGCTTGTAGAAAAAAAATGCAACGAAAAACTTGAAATTGAAGTTTTAATAAAAGGAATGTTTAACTAAAACAATAAACAAACTACTGATCAGTTGAAGAAAACGATGTGAATAAAAACTTAAACGACTCACACTGATCCACAACACGTACTTCCAATTTACCATTAATTTCCAATGGATAATCAGTATTATTTTTATTTTTTTAATTGGTAACAGCTTTTGCTATTCGATACCATTTTCCAGGAGAAATGTTTCAGACAGAAAGATGTTTTTTATTTTGTAAGTTAGTTTTGTTTTACATTTTTAATCACAGTAATAGCTGAATTCCGTAGCTGTCTGTATTTTTGCTGTGAAGTATTCACTTATTTAGCCTGAAAGTGTTACGTATTTCGCTGTCCCAGTTTAAACTTTAGATTTCCTTGTTCATCCATATATCGTCATAAACTCTTTATGGCTACAGTCTTATGTGGTACAGATATGTCGATATAACTCATTATCTTACTAGAACTAATGTCATTTAAAACTCCATTATCATCTGTACTACCGAGCCAATATTCCCAGTCAATTGCTGAAAGATTAGCATTAACAAATCCGCCATTATTCAATTACATGTAAATCAATATTTTTTTCCGATGTAATTTTCTGGAGTGTCTGGTATAAAATAGTGACTGTACAGTGGTCATCACAAGTTGGAGAATGCAAAGCTACATCAGATTATATGTACATGTATTAGTAGAAGACAAACAGTTTACCGTAAACATGCATTTGCAATAGCTGATCTAAAATTGTCCCAAAATGGTAAAACAGAAATTACAGGTCTATAAATGGTGCCAACGATATAAGTGGTGTTACGAAAAGTGATTTGTAGCCAAATGGTTTCATCGCTATTATATTCAAGGTCTGTTAATCTAGTTTCTAGTTTTTTTTTAGTAAATTATTTACGTAAACAATAACGCCCCCCCCCCCCCCCCCCCCACCACCACCAGCAAATTTCTATCGCGTCTAAAAGGAGAATGAAATCCAGGTATAAGCAGGTCATCTATGGAAACATTATCGTCTAAATGACTTTCATAAAACATAAAACATCAAATTCACCAGTAAAATCTTCAATAAAATCTAGCTTATTTCTGATACTTCTTCCGTTTAGATGAAATATTGAAAGCTCGTCAGAACCAGGGCCAGGATTCGATTCAACATTCATACACAGCAATAGCAAAAATATCAGTATAATAAAGAAATGGAAATCCCTAACACAAGAAAAGATAAAGATACTAACTAAATTGATTGATTTCATCAATCTGTGAAAATTTATCATCTTAAAGTGGCATGTATAAAAACATGTATTCAAGATAAGATAACAATTTGAATTGTTATCACACAATACAAACTTCAGAATTATATTCAGAACTATATTGTTTTGTTTAACAAATGCTTGCATACATGCTAAGTATGCTAATAATATGCATGAATTTACAGCGGTTTCAAACAAGGTAAGAAATGAGTCAGACTTATCAATGAAACGCAATTTCTTACTAAAAGCAAGTGACTTACAATAAAATGTACTTATAGCACACCTCCATGTATTAATACAACAACCCGTCATGGAGGGTAAAAGGCATAATATCTATGAAAACGTGTGACAAGGTGGCCATGGGTAACAATATGTTCATAAAGGTATGTCGTCATCTGAAGATACAGAAGGAATGGAAGATAGCAAAGAAGACAAGAATGGGATAAAAGTGATAGGTAAAAGAAGATAAGAGTGCAAATTGATGGTAAGAAGAAGCCCATTTTGAGCTTTCGTGGTTTGGAGGGGGAACCTTTCCACAGAAAGATAAAATACAAGAGAAAAAGAAAATTACGATGATAGAAAAACAATTATAGTTGTCTGTTTTGAACACAAAAATATTGTAGCAACAATATTATTAATGACCAACATGAACAAGGATAGGTAGGATTACCAAGCAGAGCATGCATTTACTTAAACAATACTTCATTGCGGGAAAATTAATTTAACTTGAATAATTGTAAAAATAATGCAAGGCATTGATAAATGATAAAGTAAAATTACAGAAAGAAAAAGAAAGAAAGCTACACGACATCATGACATGTAAAATTGTTTACCGATATACTATAATGCAATTTTGGGCTGCCTAAACATTACATCAAACACATGTATAAACATTATTCACTTCTTACATTGTATAACAGCAAATTGTATAAAAAAAACTTATAAACATGTTTATCACATCAACCTCAATGTAGTGAATCGACATGGAGATAATTAGTACCGAGTTAATGTATCAACTAATAATAATAATGCTAGCAATTATAAAATGACAGTAAAAGTGTTAAAATGTATTCATTTCTGGAATTGAGGTCACATTTAAAACATCAGACAATGAGTAACCAAACAGATCGAAATCAGATCGATAGGACTTCCATAACTTTTTGATATATTCTGCAGGTACTTGTGAATAATATTTGTCTACTGTTTTGACAGTCTCTATAGTACTGTTATGTTTCTTAGACCTTGAAGGAAATCGAACTTCAGTAGGAGCTCCAATATCCCTTAAGATATAATCAGCATCCCTACTGAGAGTTTCAAACTTCCCAATAAAGTCGTACTTTACTAAACAGGGACGACATAACGTTGTATATCTATCCCAGTGATCATTCAGATGTTCTGTCTTTTTATCTGTGATATATTTCACAAATTCCAGGAAAGTGGTATCGTTTCCGTATTTAAGAGACTCTCGGGTTGCATTAATTCTATAACGATTCACAATTTTCTTTCCTTCTACCTGAAATGTATAATCTTTAAAACCCCGACCTGCAAGTTTGTTTCTGTAGGCCGATAACAGTCGTTCTAGTGGGTTCCTTACGACAATGTATTTCTTGTAATTTTCAAGTATACGTTTTTGATCACGCGATGAATATGAACCTAGAAATGACAAATGACGTTGATACTTTCTGTGAACGTTCCCTAAATCCAGCAAACTAGAATTTACTTTTCCTTTCAAAGTTATAAATATCGTCTTCCATTCCGTACAGGAAATTTTGGGAATGTAGCAAAACACCATTTTGTATTTCTTGTCTACTATGAGATAGTTAAGATATTTATGTCCATTTTCTTTTCGATGATGATGTTTACATTCCCGACGGAGATGTTGGACTCTCTCTCTGTTATCGCTTTCAGCGGAGGCGGCATCGGTATTCCCCTGAAATCCATACATAAAAAAATACCTTGAGAGTATGTAGTATTCTTCCCAAATATCATTTCAATTCAGTATCAGTACCATCTTAGATCGCCCCTCCCCCCCCCCCCTCCCACAAAAAAAAAGTGCAATTTTATTGTTGTTTTTAATAGCGTATCGATGACATCCAGTTAAGACTCGCAATATGCAATGGTATTTGATACACAGTTTTAAGAAATATTTGTTAAGTTATTTCAATTAGGACAAAAGTATGTTTTATCAACTTTAAATAAGGCAACACATAATTGGGAGAAATGAAATTAATATCGATTTCAAATGAAAGTGCTTAATATTATCACAAAAAATATGGCATGTTGGTGACACATGGTCGATATTCCATTGCATGGTATGTTTCTTTTTAAAGTGTCGACTGTTGTTTTTGTGACACCTTTGTGGGTTTCCAGCAAGAAAGTATCCAAAAAAATAAAATCTTCAGCATTCGTCATATTGTTTCATTTCACAAAGATTTTACTGAAAATTTTCAATTGGCAATAGGCAACAGCCTAAAGTCTATTTAAGCCCTCTCCACAGGGTGGACGAATGAATAAATACAGCAAACAGCAGATATTAATGGCATATTCACTGTAAAAGTTCTAAATAAGAATGAGTTACCTCCCCTCTATCTTGTGAACGAAAAACCAATTCAAATATAAAACGTAAGGATGTCAGAAGCCAGAAGGAAGTCTCATAAATGTTTCAGAGTGATAAGGGAATGGACGAGAGGACTCCACAAGTAAATAAAGAGACGTTCAGTGGACGTACAGCAAGATAATATTATAAAAATATTCTATAACTGAACGACAAGTATTTAAACAGAATATGAATATTCAGGTCTACAAAGGGAATAACAAGAGTAAATAAGAGCAGTAAATCGTACCTTATATCAGTAGGACGGACTCATTTTCTCTCTCTGCATTGTAAAATGTTGCACTATATATTCTACAGAAATGAAACAGGTGTTGTGTGAATCTTTATGAGTGACTATCACAATTAAGAGCCTGATTTACCTGTTCTGCCTCCAGTAAATAACTGTTGTCTAACGGAAGTCCAAGCGATGAAGTGTCTGGAAAAAATACAGAAATGTCTTATACATGTTGGACATGAGATCGAAAACAAAATATCTCTACTTCCATCTCGCTAAAATGTCATAAAAATTTCGATATATACATGTAATATACAGGATATGCAATTATGAGCATAGTTAAAATTGAAACAAAAACAACATAATTTTCAAAAATGTAATATGATTCCTTCATCAGGAAAATCTTATGAAGACTATTTATTTCGGTATCTCATTATTGAGACTGAAAATATGTATCTACAACCATTCAATTGGTTTTTATTTCTGAAAGGTTTAGGTAAATATGAACATTTTCACATAAATTGTATTTCAAATTACATAAGATCCGCCCGCTAATTAAAGGAGAATGCTAGATTTGATTGTAACCAATATGCCTTTACAAGACATGCAGGTTTCAAACAAGTCTAACAATGCACTATATGCAATTCCCCCATCAACTAATAATAATGAATTATCATATTTCAAGAATAATCTTTCATTTATAATTCGAATAACATCGAACTGAGGAAGATAAAACATGCATAACATCTAACGATGTGATCCTTTAAAGCTGGTAACGTTAGATAATGAAAATTAAAAGAAGAAAAAAATGATCGTAGCTCAGTACCACGGTCATGTCTCAGCTGAATGATTTGGGGGTGTTTTGAAAGTTTCCCAGATTTAGGAGGATCACTGTGAATGGTATTATATATATCATTTTGCGAGATGTCATTGAATTAAATGTAACAATATTGTAACAAGACGGGGTTTATGTTGTCCCTAGCCTACAGAATAATGACATTATCGACCAGCTAATCCCTGTGTAAGCGGTAGGTTTTGTTAAATTTTTGGATTATTTACTTTTTATTGCACATTAAGAATTTTTATTGGTAAAATACTACAATATGAAAGATTAATCATTGACATCCGTTTAGTCTGTTACAATATCTGGTGATAACGATACATATAGCAGTACCGCGTCAATAGTCAAACATTAAAGATACATATAGCAATAGTCAGACATTAAAGATACATATAGCAATAGTCAGACATAAAAGATACATGTAGCAATAGTCAGACATAAAAGATACATATAGCAATAGTCAGACATAAAAGATACATATAGCAATAGTCAGACATTAACGATACATACAGCAATAGTCAGACATTAACGATACATACAGCAATAGTCAGACATTAAAGATACATATAGCAATAGTCAGACATTAAAGATACATACAGCAATAGTCAGACATTAAAGATACATATAGCAATAGTCAGACATTAAAGATACATATAGCAATAGTCAGACATTAAAGATACATATAGCAATAGTCAGACATTAACGGTACATATAGCAATAGTCAGACATTAAAGATACATATAGCAATAGTCAGACATTAACGGTACATATAGCAATAGTCAGACATTAAAGATACATATAGCAATAGTCAGACATTAAAGATACATATAGCAATAGTCAGACATTAAAGATACATGTAGCAATAGTCAGACATTAAAGATACATATAGCAATAGTCAGACATGAAAGATACATATAGCAATAGACAGACATTAAAGATACATGTAGCAATAGTCAGACATTAAAGACCTCAAGGAAATGATATTGATTGCTATTTGAAATTCTTTTCTTTTTTTATACCGGAATATTTTCTCATTTAAGAAATATTTTGGTCCTTTCCACATAGTTAGTGAAAGTGTAATGATAAATTATCATTCTAAAGATCCCCATTATGACATCAGATGCGCCTCGATTTATTTTCAGTTAAATACAATATTGCGGAACTGGGTAAAAAGTAAAACAAAATAAAGATTCGAATCATGTCACATGCTACACTATAAGTTAACATTGGTTACGTACCTCGATGAATCGGTGTGTTTCCAAATTTATTGAATATTGTCAATAGAATAAATAGCACAGTTAACGATCCAAGAACAAAGATTATTCCTCTGCTACGTCTCAACATATTGGCCATACTTGTGATCTGTAAAAATCCTGGAAACAGTAGAAGATTTAATTATTAACACGTATAAATGCTTATTAAGACAGATTCATACATGTAAACATTTTAACCGTCAATGGTTATCCTGTCTTGATTCCGTTCACTTACACAATGTTTTTGAACACTATACATTCTACAAATTAGTGAAACTGCATATTAGAAAGTATAGGTGAAGTGGGCGATGAATGAAACACTTAATAAATACTTGAATACCGGACTAGGCAAATATCAATCAATGGTAATAATGAACTTGACAAATATTTAATGAAGTAACCAAATAAATATTTGTTGGTAATACTCGTCCGTCAAGAAAAGTCAAACAGTGCTAAATAACGACTTTATTGAACGGTAAAAAAACTTGTCCACCAAGTACATTATGGTAACGACGTTGTGTAAAATCTATCGCTTTTGATACTATATTGACCGATTTTCCAATACGGTTTGGTATATGAACACAACAAAGAAGATAGCGACAAATTAATAGAATATTAATTCAAATACAAACTCGATGTAGTTATGGCAAAAGAAGAACACGAGTTAGATTTAAACTCCTAAAAGAAAAAGTACATAAACAAATGTTTGTCGAGCAAGTAATGCCACGTTCTCAAACGAGATATACAACAACGGAACCAGCAGGTAAACTAACGAGCATCAAATACGTCCAGCTTCATATCAAAATGATATCAATGAGATAACTATGACAACTGTAAAACTGCACAAAAATATGTTGCAGTCGCCCTATTGAAACATTAGAATAAACAATTATAAACTGCTATATGAAACTTTAAGGGTACGATCGCATGCAAGCAATGACATTTCATTCAGATCACCCCTTCCGTCCCCCTCCCCTTCGTTTGCGTGTATATTTCCCTGATTGTTTAGGGTGGTGAATAAGGATGCTCGTCAAAATGAATCGACGCTAAGTACAAAAAGGTCAAATTTTGAAGTTTAGTAATTTATGATACATTGCCTAAATGCCATAACGGTTATTAACATACAAGTATCGAATACGTTAACATTTATATAAGATAGATTGTATCAATTAACAGTTTACAAACTCATATATATTTGAGTTCAACCCTTTTAACGTGCCAAGAATACAAAAACCTGTATATCCTTCATGTTTCTTATTTTGCGAATGAGATCCCGGTTTTGTTATTTTATCTTCTGTGAAAACAAACCGTTTGGTAATTGTAGTTTATACAAATTATTTGCATGAATACTTAAACATAATTTAAGAGACTATCACAAGACTGGGACCTCCATTATTGAAATGTTTAACACTGAATTAAGGCAGAACTTCACTTAGATGTATGTACTGTCCTAAAATGTAACTGAAGGCCAACGATCTTTGTTTAGAAAAGTACTTACTTGATCTCCCTTCAAAACTTACTGTAAATTTAGAACATGTAATACTAAGTTACCATTTGAATGTGGTAGTTGGTCCACTATACCACAAGAAAACAGATTATGTAATTTGTGTAATTTAAGAGAAATTGGCGACAATTTTCATTGTTTGTTTAATTGTACTCAATAACCAATATTTAATAGTAGAAAACGTTGTATGTCCAGGTATTATTATGAAAGTTTTATACTGTATACAATTATGTAACACATAATATGTGAGTTGGTATAATTGTCTAAATTAAAATTACGGATACTTTTTTTTTAATTAATTTTTATTAACAAAGGACATAGTATAAATATCCATGTAACAACACATGTCCTCGCGCAAGAGGGTTTTCACTCGTCATAATGATCATTCACACTGACATCAGATATGCATTGATACAAAAGAAACAACACGCTTATATCTATACATAAAAAAACATGCTGATATAATGTCATAATAGAAGG